CAATAGACATGTATTTGTCATGTAACAAGCCAAAGAGAGAGTCTGTTATTGCAAGGGGCATTTCTTTCTACAGTGATTCAGGCACCTTGTTTCTTACAACATGTGGAATGCCCCTCTCCAAGGCCTTATTACCACTGCACTCAGCATAGGAGTGAGAGCCCACCTTGTATCTGTCATCCCTGGTCTGAATGAGATCCTCTGAGCAAACATCCAGCCCCCAACAAACATCGGGGAACTATCAAAAGGGCATGTTTCTCAACACAAACTCTCAATTCAAGGAGGGCTCAGAGTGATGTATTTCCAGCCCTAAAGGAAAACAACTTCCAACTCAGATTGATGTACCCTGCAAAACTATCTTTCAAAATTAATAAACAAATAAGATACTTCCATGACAAAGAATACCTGAAAAAATTCATAATCTCCAAACCACCACTCCCAAGTATTCTGAAGGATATTCTAGAAAGAGACAACAAGGATTACAACTCCATGAACCCCAACAGAATGAATCCACCAGGCAAGGCAAGAAATTAAACAGAAGAGGGAAGAAAGGAGCCAAAAATAGGAAACTAACATGACAGGGATAAGTCGATACATATCAGTTATAACCATCAATGATAATGGTCTCAATTTATCAATCAAAAGAAACAGACTAGCAGAATAGATCAAGAAGCAAGATCCAACAGTATGCTGCAGATAAGAAACACATTTAATTCAAAAAGAAATTCATACACTGAAAATCAAAGGATGGAAAACAATACTCCATGTGACAGAAACCTGGAAAAAAGCAGGAGTAGCTATTCTATTTGCAGACAAAGTGGACTTGAAGCCAAGACTGATTAATAGAGACAAAGAATGTCACTACATCCTTGTAATGGGAACAATCCAAGAGGAACAGATAACAATCACAAATATATATGCACCACATAGCAGTGCACTCAACTATATAAAACAAATATTAATGGAGATGAAAAATCAAATAAGCATTAATACAGTTGTAATGGGGGACCTCAATACCCCTCTGTTACAAATAGACAGATCAATGAGACAAAAAATCAACAATGAAATATTAGAACTGAGCCAAACTTTTGAACAAATGGACTTAGTAGATAGCTACAGAGTTTTCCACCCCACAACATCAGAATACATATTCTTCTCAGCTACACACAGGACATTCTCCAAAATAAACCACATGCTAGCTCATAGAACATGCTTAAGTAAATGCAAAGGAATTGAAATTCTCCTATACATATTATTTGACCATAGTGCAATGAAATTGGAAATCAATGGCAAAAAACCATACAAACTTCATAAATACATGAAAATTAAATAATCCCCTACTGAACAACCAATGGGTCACAGATGAAATTAAAGAAGAAATTGGAGTTTCTACAATTAAATGATAATGCCAATACAACTTACCAGAACTTGTGGGACACAATAAAATCAGTCCTGTGAGGGAAATTTATAGCAGTGAAAACCCATATCAATAAAGCAGAGGGGGCTCAAAACACAACCTAATTTTGAACCTCAAGCATCTAGAAAAAGAAGACCTAGTCAAGCTCAAAGCTTGTACAAGGGAGGAAATTATAAAAACCAGAGCAGAAATTAATTCAATGGAGAGTAAAAAAATACAAAGAATTAATTAATCAAAAAGTTGGTTCTTTGAAAGATTAAACAAAATTGATAACCTTATCAAAAAGAAAAGAAAAGAAAAGAAAAAACTCAGATCCACGCAACTAGGGTGAAATCACCACAGATCCTGCAGACAACCTATAGTCAAATAAGATGAAGAAATGGACAGAAGAAATGGACAGATCTTCCTATACATATGAATTACCAAAGCTGAATCAAGAAGATATAAAAATTCTAAACAAACCAATATCAGCCAATGAACTTGAAAATGTGACTAAAAACCTACCAAAAAAGAGAAGCTCAGGCCCTGATGGATTTACTGCTGAATTTGACAAGAACTTTAGAGAAGACCTAATGCTGCTACTTCTCAAACTCTTTAATGGACTTGAAAGGGAAGCAGTACTCCCAAATTCATTCCTGGGGAGCAAGCATTACCCCAATACCAAAACCAGAGAAGGATCCAACCAAAAAAGAGAGTGGCAGGCCAACCTCCCTAGTGAACATAGATGCAAAAATCCTCAATAAGATACTGCCAAATAGAATGCAGCAAACCATCAAGAAGATTATACACCAATAACAAGTAGGATTAATCCCAGGAATGCAAGGATGGTTCAACATATGCAAATCAATAAATGTAATACACTATATTAACAGAGTCAAGGACAAAAACCATATGATCCTCCCAATAGATGCAGAAAAAGTGTTTGACAAAGTCCAACACCCATTCATGATAAAAACTCTACAGAAAACTGGAATAGATTGTCTTTATCTCAATCTGATAAAAGCCATCTATGGCAAACCAACAGCCAACATTATATTAAATGGGCAAAAACTGAAAGCTTTCACTCTAAAATTAGGAACAAGACAAGGATGTCCACTGTCACCACTGTTATTAAATATAGTTTTGGAAACATTAGCTAGAGCAATTAGAAAAGAGAAAGAAGTAAAATAAATAAGTTTAGGAAAGAAAGAAGTTAAATTATCAATATTTGTAGATGACATGATACTCTACATAGAAGACCCCAAAGCTCTACCAAAAGATTTCTAGATTTAATAACCATATTCAGTAGCATAGCTGGATATAAATTTAACACTCAAAAATCTATAACCTTCCTGTACACAAATAACAAACTCACTGAGAGAGAAATTAGGAAAACATCACCTTTCACAATACCATCCCCCAAAAATGAAATACCTAGGAATCAATCTAAAGAAGGAAGTAAAAAAAAAAACACCCTATATTTAAAACTACAGTACTCTGAAAAAAGAAATCAAAGAGGATATCAGAAAATGGAAAGATATCTCTTCTTCTTGGGTAGGAAGAACTAACAAAGTAAAAATAGTCATACTTCCAAAATTGTTTTACAGATTTAATGCAATCCCAATCAAAATTCCAACAGCATATCTCACAGTACTAGAAAAAACAATTCTAAAATTCATTTGGAACCAGAAGAGACCTAGAATACCAAAGGCAATTCTAGATAACAAAGGCAAAGCAAGGGGCATCACAATCCCTGACTTGAAATTATACTCCAAAGCTACTGTGATAAAAATAGCATGGTACAGCAAAAAAAAAAAAAAAAAGACAGACTTGGGGATTAATGGAACAGATTAGAAGATGCAGAAACAACTCCAGAACATACTCAGCCACCTAATGTGTGACAACAGAGCCAAACACCTTCACTAGAAGACAGATAGCCCCTTTAATAAATAGTGCTAGAAAAATTGGCTTTCCACATGCCAAAGATTGAAACTAGACCCATATTTTTCACCATGCACTAAACTAAAACAGAAATGTATCAAAGATCTAAATACTAAAACAGAAAGCTGGGGATTTAGCTCAGTGGTTCCGGTGCCTGCCTCGCAAGCACAAGGTCCTGAGTTCGATCTCCAGTACCAAAAAAAAAAAAAATACTAAAACAGAAACACTTTATCTGCTGGAAGATAGAATAGGTAAAACTCTCAAAGACATTGGTGTAGGCAAAGACCTTACAACCAAAATCCTGATCACACAGGAGCTATAACAAAGAATCAACAATTGAGATCTCATTTTTAAAAAATTTAATTTAATTTTATCCCATTTCCCACTCCCCTTCCTATGTACAAAAGATTTGTTTCCATTTCTCCTTCTATTTTCACTTTTTACTTGTCTCTTCCTTCCTTTTTCCCTCCCTCCTCCCTTGTTCCCCTTCCCATTTGAACACTTTCTTCCAATTTCTATTTCTTCCAATACCTATTATACATTTTAGTCCTTATTTCCACTTTCAGTTTCTCACACAAGAGAAACAATGCAATAGTTACAAATTTGTGTCTGATTTATTTTGCTTAAGAGTATGGTCTCAAGGTCATCAATTTAGCTATAAATGTCTGAAGCTCATCCTTCTTTATGACAGAGTAGTACCCCATTGGATAAAAAAACCACATCTTCCTTATCCATGCATCGGTTGATAGGCATTTGGGATGTTTCCAAGATTTAGCTATTACAAACTGTGCTGCTATAAACATGAGTGTGCATATATTGCTGTGGTATGATGCTTTTAATTCTTTTGGAAAGATACCAATGAGATCTCATCTTATTAAAAAGCTTCTGCACAGCAGGAGAAACCACTAATGGAGTGAAGAGACAAAATTTTTGCCAGCTGTTCCTCAAAGGACTACTATCTACAATATATAAAGAATTTTTAAAAATGAGATGTTCCCAAATTTAAAGACCCAATCCAAAAAATGGGCATCTGAAATGAATAGATACTTCTCATATGAAGAAGTAGAAACACCAAATGAATATATATAAAAAATGTTCAACATCGCTGGTCATTTGAGACATGCAAATTAAAACAATGCTAAGATTCCATCTCACTCTAGGAAGCATGTTTATTATGAAGAAATCAATCAATAACAAATGCTAGGGCCTGCGCTGGAGAGTCGAGAAGCTTGGGTTGCCAACTCTGGGGAGATAGCTCCTGTCAGTCTTGGATCGGTCCTCCTGCTGGCCCACTTTCTTTCTCCTTCTCCTGGGGGAGGTGCAGTTTAGTCCGCCCTCAGGCTCCCCCAATGAGAGAGAAGCGGCAACAGCAGCAGTGGAATAACCGAGCCAGAGGGTGAGCAGCCCCGTGGCTCGGTTCACTGCGGAGGCCATGGATGACCTGGCCCCCGCCTGCAGCCTGGACGACATCGACCTGTCCGCCCTGCGGGGCCCTGCTGGGATCTTTGAGCTGGTGGAGGTGGTTGGCAATAGAACCTATGGACAGGTGTACAAGGGTCAGCATGTCAAGACTGGGCAGCTGGCTGCCATCCAGGTCATGGATGTCACGGAGGACGAGGAGGAAGAGATCAAACAGGAGATCAACATTTTGAAAAAGTATTCTCACCTCCACAACATTGCCACCTACTATGGGGCCTTCATCAAGAAGAGCGCCCCTGGGAATGATGGCCAGCTCTGGCTGGTGATGGAGTTCTGTGGTGCTGGTTCAGTGATCGACCTGGTAAAGAACACAAAAGGGAATGCTCTGAAGAAGGACTGCATTGTCTACATCAGCAGGGAGATTCTCAGGGGGTTGGCTCATCTCCACGCCCATAAAGTGATCCATCAAGGATTGTCGTTGACAGAGCCTTCAGTTATTTTGGTTTCTCATTACTTTTCAGGGAAGCTATTTTATTTGTTTGTTTTTTGTATTTTTCATTGTCTTCAATATTTTTCATTTTTCTCACAATATTTTCCTTTCCTTCATTAGCTGTTCATTTCTTTGCATGTATTATGACAAGTACCTTTTCAGTTTGATAACTTGTGTCTTTCTTTAATTTTAGAAATTTCTTGGCTATCATCTTTTTTTCTAAATTTTTTCCTCTATTTTTCCCTTGTCTCACCTCAAGAATTTTTATTAAATAAATGCTAGAATGTTATAAAAATCCAAGCAATGCCATTTATATTGAATTTCTTGTGAATGGTTGCCTTTACAACTATGTAGTATGGCTGCCTTTTATATCTAGATGTCCTCCAGGAGCTTAATGAGCTCAGCAGTGAGGCTTGTGAAAGATGGTTGGGTTAAGGGGGCTCATAGCTGACATGCTGTTAGGAAACAGGATCTATTTGGAAAAGGCAGGTCACTGGGCGCATGGCATGGAAGGCTTGATCTCCCTCCACATTTCCTCCTTTCTCTCTCTGCTTCCTGGCTGCCTTGACAAGACCCTCTTCTTCTCTGCTACACCTGTCCACCATGCTGTTTTCCCTTGGGAGCCAGACAACCATGGACTGAACTATGAGCCAAAATAAATCTCTCCTCCTTTAAAAAAAAAAAAAAAGTGATCCATCAAGACATCAAGGGACAGAATGTGCTACTAACAGAGAATGCTGAGGTCAAGCTAGTGGATTGCAGTGAGTGCTCAGCTGGACCGCACTGTGGACAGATGGAACACATTTATTGGGACCCCATACTGGATGGCTCCAGAGGTCATAGCCTGTAACGAGAACCCTGATGCCACCTACGATTACAGGAGTGATATTTGGTCTTCAGAAATCACAGCCATTGAGATGGCACAGGGAGCCCCCACACACACTCTGTGTGACATGCACCCCATGCGAGCCCTCTTCCTTATCCCTCGGAACCCTCCACCCAGTCTCAAGTCCAAGAAATGGTCTAAGAAGTTCATCGACTTCATTGACACATGTCTCATCAAGACTTACCTGAGCCGACCGCCAACCGAGCAGCTACTGAAGCTTCCCTTCATCTGAGACCAGCCCACAGAGCGGCAGGTCCCCATCCAGCTCAAGGACCACGTTGACCGGTCCCGGAAGAAGCGGGGCAAGAAAGAGGAGACAGAATATGAGTATAGCGGCAGTGAAGAAGAAGATGACAGCCATGGAGAAGAAGGAGAGCCAAGCTCCATCATGAATGTGCCTGGGGAGTTCACACTACGCCAGGAATTCCTCCGGCTCCAGCAGGAGAATAAGGACAACTCCGAGGCTTTAAAGCAGCAGCAGCAGCAACAGCGAGACCCTGAGGTGCACATCAAACACCTGTTGCACCAGCGGCAGCGTCGAATAGAGGAGCGAGAGGAGGAGCGGCGAGGAGCTGAGGAGCAACAGCGTTGAGAGCGCAAGCAGCAGAATCTGAAGGAAAAGGAGCAGCAGTGGCGGCTAGAGGACATTCAGGCTCTGCGGCAGGAGGAGCAGCGGCAGGTTGAGCAAGAGCAGGAATATAAGCGGAAGCAACTAGAGGAGCAGCGGCAGTAACGTCTCCAAAGGCAGCTGCAGCAGGAGCATGCCTACCTCAAGTCCCTGCAGCAGCAGCAGCAGCAGCAGCAACTTCAGAAGGAGCAGCAGCAGCAACAGCAGCAGCAGTAGCAAATCCTGCCTGGGGACAGAAAGCCTCTGTATCATTATGGTCGGGCATCAATCCTGCTGACGAGAGGTAGAAGCGAGAACAAGGAAGAACAAGCAACAGAACTTTCCCTTGACCAAGACCAAACCAAGCAACACAGGCCCAGAACCTCCCATCCCCCAAACCTCCCCCGGCCCTCCAGGACCTCTTTCCCAAACTCCTCCTATGCAGAGGCCGGTGGAGGCTCAGGATGGACCACACGAGTCCCTCTGCAGGACCAGCCCACCAGAAACCTGGCTGGGGCCGGTGATTTAGCTCAGTGGTTTGGCCGCCTGCTATGCAAGCGCAACGACCGGAGTTCAATCCCTGGTACCAAAAAAGAAAAAGAAACCTGGCTGCCTTCCCAGCCTCCCACGACCCTGACCCTGCCATCCCCACGCCCACTGCCACGCCCACTGCCCCGAGCAGCTGTCATCCGCCAGAATTCAGATCCCACCTCTGAAGGGCCTGGTCCCTCCCTGAACCCCACAGCCTGGGTCTGGCCAGATAATGAGGCCCAGCCCAAGGTACCTCTGAGGACCTCATCTATTGCCACTGCCCTTAACACCGGTGGGGCTGGAGTGTCCCGGCCAGCTCAGGCTGTCCATGCCAGACCTCACAGCAACTCCGCCTGGCAAATCTATCTGCAAAGGCGGGCAGAGCGGGGCACCCCCAAGTCTCCAGGGTCCCCTGCTCAGCCCCCTGGCCCACCCAACGCCTCTAGTAACTCGGACTTCAGGAGGAGTGACCCCTGCTCCAACAGTGCCCTCCCAGCCTCTCATGGGAACCTCCCCCAGGCTGGCTTGCTGGAATGAAATCGAAACCATGTGGGAGCCTCTACTAAACTGGACAGCTCCCGGCCAGAAGATTTTGTGTTGCTGAAAGAACGAACCTTGGACGAAGCCCCCCAGCCACCCAAGAAAGCCATGGACTATTCATCATCCAGTGAGGAGGTGAAGAGCAATGAAGACGATGAGGAAGAAGGTGATGGTGAACCATCAGAGGGGAACAGAGACACCCCTGGGGACCACAGCGATGGAGAAACAGACAATGTCAGCACCATGGCGGTTCACGATGTTGAGGAGATAGCTGGGACCCAGCCGCCATACGGGGATGGCACCATGGTGGTCTAGAGGACTCCTGAGGAGGAATGAAGCCTGTTGCATGCTGACAGCAATGGTTACACTAACCTTCCAGATGTCGTCCAGCATAGCCACTTGCCTACCGAGAACAGCAAAGGTCAAAGTACCCCCTCAAAGGATGGAAGCAGTGATTACCAGTCTTGTGGGCTGGTAAAGGCCCCTGGCAAGAGCTCATTCACCATGTTTGTGGATCTAGGAATCTACCAGCTTGGAGGCAGTGGGGACACCATCCGCATCACAGCCCTCATGGGTGGAGAGGGAGCTTGGCTAGATCAGCTGCAGTATGATGTGAGAAAAGGCTCTGTGGTCAGTGTGAATCCTACGAACACTCAGACTCACAGTGAAACTTCTGAGATTCGTAAGTACAAGAAGCAATTCAATTCTGAGATCCTCTGTGCGGCCCTTTGGGGCCTCAACCTGCTGGTGGGTACAGAGAATGGGCTAATGTTGCTGGACCGAATGGACCGAAGTGGGCAGGACAAGGTGTATGGACTCATTGGTCGGCAACACTTCCAGCAAATGGATGTACTGGAAGGCCTCAACTTGCTCATCACCATCTCAGGGAAAAGGAACAAACTATGGGTGTATTACCTGTCCTGGCTCCGGAACAAGATCCTGCACAATGACTCAGAGGTGGAGAAGAAGTAGGGCTGGACCACTGCGGGGGACATGGAGGGCTGCGGACACTACCGTGTTGTGAAATACGAGCACATTAAGTTCCTCGTTATTGTCCTGAAGAACTCCGTGGAGGTGTATGCCTGGGCCCCCAAACCCTACCACAAATTCATGGCCTTCAAGTCTTTTGCTGACCTCCCTCACCACCCTCTGCTGGTTGACCTGACGGTAGAGGAGGGACAGCAGTTTAAGGTCATCTATGTCTCCAGTGCTGACTTCCATGCTATGGATGTTGACTCGGGGAACAGCTATGACATCTACATCCCTGTGCATATCCAAAGCCAAATCAGAGATGATGGCCATGCCGTCATCTTCCTCCCCAACACCGATGGCATGGAGATGCTGCTATGCTATGAAGATGAGGGTGTCTATGTCAACACGTACGGGCGGATCATTAAAGATGTGGTGCTGCAGTGGGGAGAGATGCCCACATTTGTGGCCTACATCTGCCCCAGCCAGATAATGGGCTGGGGTGAGAAAGCCATTGAGATCTGTTCTGTGGAGACAGGACACCTGGATAGGGTCTTCATGCACAAAAGGGCCCAGAGGCTCAAGTTCCAGTGTGAGCAGAATGACAAGGTATTTTTTGCCTCTGTCCACTCTGTGGGCAGCAGCCAAGTTTACTTCATGACCCTGAACCGGAACTGCATTATGAACTGGTGATGGCCGGGCTGGGGCCACCTACCCTGGACCAGCTCCTCCAGCCAGATTTCCCCAGCCGCCCCCATTCTCTTCCCTGGGCTTTTGCTTTTATTGGTTTGATTCACTGGAGCCTTCTGGGAACATGACCTCCAACCACCCCTCATGCTTTTATGATCATGTGACTATCCTTTTCCGCAACATGTCCTCTCCTTTAAACTGTGCCTATCCCCAACTTTTGGGGAGGGACACAGCTTCTTACCAGGAGTAGACTGGGCCTCCCCTACCCCTTTTCTCCACTTAGGAGAGTGCTTGGGGCTCAGACCCCTTGCCCCACTGCTGCTGACTGGGCAGGGCCCTGGACCTCTTTATTAGCACATCAGAGGAGCCAGCTCCCCCCTTGAATGTACCAGACTCGGGGGGGGGTCACTGGGCCCTAAGTTCGGGGTGGGGAGGTCACTGGCCACTCCAGGGGTAGGGAGCATTTCCTCATTTTCTGAAACCACTTTAATGATTCCTTTCCCCCTCAAGCCCCAGGGAATGGAGGGGGGACCCCACCAACAAAAACATTCCCCCTTTCCAGCCTCCATCTCTTCTAGCCTCTCCCTTTTTCTGGTGGAGGGAGAGAGCAGGGAGCTCTCAACCTCCACACCCCTTTGCTTGCCTCTGTATATAGTGTGAGCAGCAAGTAACCTTTCTCTTCCCTGCCCTGCCCCTCCTCAATGTAGTGGCCTTGGATATCCTGTTTGTTAATAAAGACAATTCAACCAGCACCCACCAAAAAATAAAATAAAATAAAAAATAACAAATGCTGGAGGGCTGTTGGGAAAAGGAACCTTTCTCCACTGTTGGTGGGAGTGTAGACTGCTTCAACCACTGTGGAAATCAGTGTGGCAATTCCTCAAAAAACTAAAACTAAAGGTTCCATTTGACTCAGCTATTCCTCTTCTTGGTATCTTCCCAATACCAAGTTGGCTTCTCTCCAAGACAGCTACCAGCCAAGCACCCTCTCCTGTGTGAGCTCTGAACCCAGATAACTCACCAGCTGCTGCAGTCCAGTGTCTCCACTGCTCTGTTCCACTGGTGTGTTTCTCCATACAGGCCTCTAGGGTTGCCAGCAGTCACTGTGCATCTGCAGGTTTGACCCACCATTCCCACCCTGAGTGTCTGGGATCTGGGAGAAAGCATTACTTGCTACCTCCCTCCTGTTTGTTACAATCTCTCTTCGCTCTCCCCATGGACTTCACTTCTCACCTCAGATCCTTCCTGGGTCCCAGGGACCCACTTCCCTCCATCTCCTCCTCCTTGCACCTCTGTATTCCAGTGTCAGGACACCAAATCTCAGAGAGGGTTTTTCTCTGCTGCTCACCACTCCATCATCTTCCTGGAAGTTCTCATGACCTTTGCTTTATGCGTCTTTTTATGATATTTAGTTCACAAGTCCATCTATTTCCCCCACTGTTTGATCTACTCATCCACCCACCCATTACCTGCCCACACATCTGCCCATGTGTCCACCCATGTGTCCATTCATCTATCCATCTACACATTTACCTGTATATCTATCTGTGATAGTTAACTGACTGTGTCAACTCAAGTAAGAAACACCCAGCTAAATTGGACCAGCAAAGTTCTGGATGTGGCTGAGGGGATTTACTGAAGATTTGCCAGGATTTACTGGGTGTGACAGCAACCAATGTGTTTGCCACCTGAATGGTATAAAAGGGAAATGAAGAAAGAAGGCTTGCTTCTGTTTCTTCAGAGGAGCTCCAGTCTTGACCTTCACTGTGGGCATTATTTCTTAGCTTCCAGTGCAGACTCTTCAATCTTCCAGCACAGAGCTTTTGGCCTCCTGGTACAGACTTGTGTGGGTCACTACAGTGAGCTCCAGCTCTTCAACTGGATCCTTTGGATCTCCAGAGCAGAGAGACCCTTTGCACTCTTCCACACCTGACTCTGTGGGTGGCCATTATAAGCCAATCTTGTAAATTCTTATATTGTATAATCTTGCATTAAATCTGTTTCTCTAGTAAGCACTGCCTGATACACCATCCATTCATCCATCCATCTATCCATATATCCATCCCATATATTCTTTCATCTATCTGTCTATCCATCTATTCCTCTATCCAATAAATATTTTGAGTGATTTCAAAAATTACTCAAATATTTTGAGTACCATGTACATGCCATGCACTGGTCTAGATGCTAGGATATTCTGGTGAACAGGACAGAAAACAAACTCTTGCCATCATGGGGCTTGTTTCCAGCATGAGGCTAACAGGACAAAAAATCATAAGACCAATCTTATAAGGTCTGTAGACTGTGGGCCTCATGAAGTCCACACATCTTTCAGACCCCAGCTCACATGTCCCTTCTTCAAGAAATCCTTCCAGGTCCCCCATATCAAGTTATGCACATCACCTGTGCAGGCACCAGTAGTCTCATTAGCTTCTTAGTGGATATCAGCTTTGTCACCATGCGGCCCTGGACTGTGAGCCAGTGAAGATGGACCCCCACCTTCTTGGTGATCCTGCATCCTCACTGAGCATGTACTTGTGCTCTGGATGGATGCACTGAAGCTCAAAGGTGGACCCATCTATAGGAAGGAAGGGTCTCTCCTCACAGGCTTGCTGGGATGTTCAGACAAGATGACTTGCTTTCCTGATCTAGTTCATGGTATTCACTTGTACTTTTGTCTTAGCCAGCAGACAAACACAAATATAGCCCTGCTCCCTGACTCTATGTTAGTCAGCTTTCCCTCACTGTTAAAAAAAATAACAAAAAATCCTTGAGATTATTAACTTATAAGGAGGAAAATTTTATTTTGAGGTTTCAGCCTGTGCTCGCTTGGTGCACTTGCTCAGAGTCTGTGATGAAGCAGAACAATGTGGCAGGGCAGGTGTAATGAAGCAAAGCTGCTCACCTCATGGCAGTTGCAAAACAGAGAAAAACAAAAAGATGTCAGGATTCCAGTATCCCCTTCAAGAGCACACTCCCAATAATCTAACTTCCTCCCACTATCCCCCACTTTTTATAGGT